CAAAAAGTCTGAGTTTTTCCCTAAGAAACTTTAGATAAGGACTTGATAGTTGGTACAGACTCTGGAATGTAATCGGCATTAGGTGGGAGGTAGCAGCTACCCTGCAAAATAGTCTTTTTATTTAAATAGCAACTATTTTTGTGCTGGGAATGTTGAAAACTCAGGTAAATACTCATTATGCATATTCTCCCAAAATGGAAATGCAGCATGCTCTATACTTTGTACATGTTCAGGAGTAATCAAAACACAATAATAAATCAACATATTGTGTCATTCACAGACAATCTTCTGGGCTTTAAGAACTAAAAGAAAAGATGCACCTCCCACCCCCCCAAAAAGCCTTTTAAATCAATAGTTGTAAAGCAACAGAACACATTCTTAAAAATTTAATTATTGGTGTAAAGGTTGATTCGATTATTCATTGTAAGTGGAATTGCATTTTTGGTGTACCAAGTTAAAAACACATGGTCTTTGAGCAGGAGTCATGCAGAAGGTCCCTTTGGGGGAGTGCCACCTCATCCATGAACAAGCCTTCTCCTCCTCCTGCACTTGACAAAGCAGGACTCTTGCTCTCTATCAGTGCCAATTGGGATGGGTCCCCAAATCCTTATAATTTTATTAGGAACTTAATGCAGCTAACTGTGCTCTAGCCCACAATCACTTCCTCTTACTATGGTTCAGTTGAGGCCTGTTGTTCTCCATCCAGAGACCCACAGTCTCCAAACACCATTAAATGGTATCCACAGCATCAGTTATTTTACCTGGGATAGAAATGTATACCTGGGTACCCGTGGTACATCATTCCATGGTGACAGATGCTCTCAACCAGTGGCTTCACATTGATGTTAAAAAAGAGCAGAGAAAGCACTGAGTCTTGTGACATCTGACAAAGCAGAGCTCTTGCTTTCTATCATTATCAATGGGGATTGGTCCCCAAATCCTTATAATTTTAACAGAATTAACAGATTAACAGAATAGGAAGGAACCTTCTAGGTCATCTAGTCCAAACCCACCCACCCCCCAAGCAGGAGACCCTACACCATTTCTGACAGATGGCAGTCCAATCTCTTCATGTTAACCTCCAGTGATGAAGCTCCCACAACTTCCGAAGGCAAACTGTTCCATTGGTTGATTGCTCTCACTGTCAGAAAATGTCTCCTTATTTCCAGGTTGAACCTCTCCTTGTTCAGTTTCTATTCATTATTCCTTGTCTGCCCTTCAGGCCTTCATTTTATTAGGAACTTAATGCAACTAACTATGCTTTAACTGTTGGTAGGGTTAAATTTCCATTTCTACCACACACGGGCATAGATAGATTTTGGGGTCAGCAAAGGGGTCTTGATACATTAATTTGAATGTGAACATGTGTAGGGCAGTTGGCCTTCTAGCTGGGACATCACCTAATTTTAAAAAAACCATTCTCTCTTTACTAAAATATTTATTAAATTCTTAATTAAAATGTTCTGAGCATTCAGGTTATCACTGAAACATTATGGACCCCATTGCTGAGAGAAATATTGCTAGCAAGTTTGGAAGCAGAAGATTGAGACTAATCCGGGACACAAACCAGTGTGTTTGTATCTAATTCTGAGAAATAAGCAGAGAATTATAATATACAAGTGAGTGAAAGAGATGTAAGTGAAGGGTTAGAGTACTTGAGTGGCAATAGCTGATTCTTTTCATTGTTATGTCTTTTTTTCTGTGTCTGCCTCTCAAGTATCTTAGGAGAGTGATATCCTTGAGTCTTTGCATGCGAGCCTTCTAGTCTGAACTTTGGACTATCTGTAGCTTGACAATTTCCTAGCAAAATACCAGAGAAGATATAATATCTCCTAAATGTCAAGATGTACCTCAGTTTGACGTTAATGTAATTTACAGTTGTGATTATTCATTCTGGCTTTTTGTATTTTTTGGGGTGCATTTACAGGTTTTTTCATTTATTTACATCCCATCTTCATTATTTTTAAAAATAACTCCAGGAGGCTAACATGTCCCATACACTTTCCTCTTCCTATTTTCTCCACACCCTGTGAGGTGAGTTGGGCTGAAAGAGAATGACTAGCCCAAAGTCACCTAGCTGGCACTCATGGCTAAGGCAGGATTTGAGTTCATGGTTTCTAGCCTGGTGCCTTAAGCACTAGACCAAATTGGCTCACGACCTCAGAATTTTTAATGTACTTCCCATTGCATTGAATCCCACTTTACAAAACTAGAACAAAGCCTATTTGAAAAAAACAATAACAAAACAGATCAGGATAATTTCCTGCCTTTTTCATAATTGGGAAAATCGTAATAAGCATACATAAAAAAGAACATAACAGTTTTCAAGGCATCCTTCAGTATGGGAATAAAGTACTGGCTTCCCTTAACCTTCTTTGACTACTTTTTCTCTCTGGTTGCTGAAACAAAGAAATTTGCACCTTGATATAATGTATGAAAAATGTACATTATGACCAGTGGTGGGTTGCCCTCGGTTCGCACCGGTTCTATAGAACTGGTAGTAAAACCGGCAGGAGATCCCGCCCACCGACCCCGACATTACCAAAATGCTTCTGCACATGTGCAGAAGAGAGCACATGCATGAAGCAAGCACACGCGCATGGTCCCGCTGCAAACCAGTAGTAAAGGTAAGTAGAACCCACTCCTGATTATGACAGATTTTCCTAACTGCTTGGTGAGTTGGTGGGTTGCTACTGGTTTGCACTGGATTGGGCAAACAGGTAGTGGCGGCGATGGGAGGCTCTGTCCACCCACCTGGATGCTTCTGTGCATGTGCAGAAGTGCCGTGAGAGAGCGCGCACAAGCGAACTGGTAGCGAAGGGATTTGGAACCCGCCCCAATCCTAAATCAGCATAACATTACCAATCTAAAACTTGCTGTCCCCTTCACTGGTATTGCTTTGACTTCCTTGAATTCTCTGTAAGCTGAAAGTGATGAGATTAAAAAGATTTTATAAATTTTGAATTTACCTTTGGAGGGTGTCAGAATAATATGAAACATTGCTATTGGTACATCTACAGTCAACATAAATTTAATATTTATTTTGGGGTGAATATAAGATGAAAGCAGAATCATGGGAATATGGCAGAAAAAAAACATTATTCCCAAAACACATCTGGTAAAACATAGGCTGAGTGTTTTATTTTAAATTTAAATTTAATTATCACACTATTTACAGTAGTTTTAAGTAAGCTTTGTTTTTCTTTCCCCCTTTTTAATAGATTATAAAGTAGAAAACCACATATGGAGTTCTTCAGCCTAAAACTGATGGTCTTAGTAAATTGTCTCTTTAAAGGATTGTAGGAGAAAAAGACATATTCACATTCAAACGAACAACATTCTGAAGATAAAACAAAAATAAAATTAATGGGAGTCAATTCCCAACTAAAGCTGTATTATACAAAATGTATTTCTGGATAGTTGATTTGGAACGCAGCACTTTTGGGGTACTTGGTATTCTTTGGCTGTTGAAAATAATTTTCTGACTCATATATTCTGTTGGATTTATAAAAATAAAATAAAATAGTGTAACATTAAAGACTGATCACTTTTATTATGATGCATGTTTTAATGGAGCAAACCTACTTCATCAGATGAATGGAGTGAATTACTGTAAAAGCCATTAAGTACTTAAATATATGGTAAGTTTTATTTATTTGTATCCTGCCTTTATTATTTTACAAATACCTCAAGCATATCCAGCTCACCTTCCTCCTTCTAATTTTCCTCACAACAACAACCCTGCAAGGTAGGCTAGGCTGAGAGAGAATGACTGGCCCAAAGTCACCCATCTGGCTGAAGACAATTTGTCCTACTATGGGGTAAAGCTTTGCGCTCCAGACAGAAATAACACAGGGCAAAAAATGTTTCAGCACTTGCTGATGGTGGAATGAAGCTGGCTAATTGGTATTTGTCTTCTGCAAGAAGAGTACATTGCATAGTTTAGAGTAAGTACACAAACATGTACAGGTACTTATGACCTCAATTGAGCCCAACATTTATGTTGCTAAGTGAGACATACATAAGTGAGTTTTGCCCCATTTTAAGACCTTTATTGCCACAGTTGTTAAGTGAATCTGGCTTCCCCATTGACTTTGCTTGTCCAAAATTTGCAAAAGCTGATCACATGACCCCAGGACACTGCAGCCATCATGTCCTGCCCCCTCACCAGGAATGCTTCAAATGGAGGTATGCCAAGCATTCTCTCCAATAGCTCTATGGGGTGCCTAATAAAACATAGTACAGTCAGTTATGTCTATTTATGTAGCAAGTATTTTCAAAGACATCTCTTGTTTGCATGGGGTAGACTATAGTAGAACAGACTTTGGTCCAAGCATCATGGTGAGTGAAAAGCCATGGTACTGACTGAAGAATGCATGGCTTATTGTGGTGAGTGGATCAACAACTGTAAGGAACATGAACCTATGGATGCTCTTGCTCTTTGTCCTGCTTACAGATTTCTCAGAATACTTGGTTGACCATTGAAGAATCATAATGCTGGACTGGTGTGGAATCAAATGCAGGCCCAAAAAACCAGTTAATCAAGGCTCACTGCAGTAATGATTTATTCAGTGCACACTGGAGAAATTCACTCCAGAAAAGTAATGGAGAGACTCTTGCTGAAATGAAATGCTCCTGTTACATTTCAGTAAAGGTAGAATAAATGATAGTCATACATAAGCATAGGTAATAGATGAAGTAAGTATAAACATTCATAATTAACAAACCTTAAGTTTCTTTCCCATCCTTTTACAGTTAACTATTCTCAAGAAAGAGTCTTAATTAAAAACAAAACAAAACTCCATTATCAGTTATACTGCCATAACAATTTTGATAAAATGTACTGAGAACTCAAAACATACCGTAAGTTGGGGACTTCAAGGTTTTCTCGATTAGTCTACACACTCCTCCTCCAAAACTTGTTTTCCTCATAATTCTCTTCTCCCCACCCCTTGACCTCTAGTAGGGGGAGATATGTGTCTGAAACGACAGGATCTAGCCTCATTCTCTTCTGGAAACGACTCTTGACAAGATCTCCACAAGCCAGGGGACAATCCAGAGCCATATTTTGCAGCCAGCCAGCTAGCTACGAGGTAAGCCAGTTTCACAGAGCACTACCAGAGCCCTTATATCTTACATAGTGGCTTTTACTTGCAAATAATTTTTACTTATTTGGAAATTCTTAATAGCCATGGGGCATTTGAAATAACACAAAGTCAATGGCCAGTTTATTTGCAAGACTGCTGCTTTTACTATTCCTATTTCTCATTTATGAGAGCTATGTTATTTAAAGTTTCATTTATACGATTTATAATTATTAAAATGTTTTTTTAATATTATATATATATATATCAAGGTAGGCTGCAAAGACTGGGGTGCCAATTATGGGGATAATGAGCAGGTAGCTCTCAATTAGGTACCAGCCTCTGTGCACCCCCTTTGACTTGTGATGTATGTAATTTTGGACAGCTGGTACTGCATGAAATGAGGTTAAATGCTCAAATGTTCAATTTTCACACAAAAATACTATTCCTTTGGTAAGTTCAGGTGAATTTGTACATATCTAGATTCTATTATTGTGGGTCATTTTCAATTATAGGTTGAAAAGGAATATCTTTTTGTCATAACAACTAAACACTTGCACAATTGGCAAAATTGCCTTTGTTTCCACCCTAAATAAAACTTGGTGGATATACAAGAGGAGTATTAGTGATTGAGGCTGCATTGGGATAATTTACACAGTAGCTTTTGAACACAAAACCTCAATTTGTCCTCCCGGTTATACAGAAAGATTTCAGACATAATGAATTAGGAATGGACTAATATTAAATAAAAGTTATTGGTAGGCAGCCAGCTCAGGGACGCTTGCATCGTACTCCCCGGCAATTATAAATAGATCACATTTACTAACAGAGACATAATTTTTAGCAGAGCCGCTGCTCAGAAAAAAAAAAGCAGTACAATAAAACAATAATAGCACAATAAAACAAGCTAAATAATAATAATAATTGTAGGAGCCTAAATATCAAAGTTAAACTGCTCTGAGGACTAATGCCTCAAAGTTCATTAAAACTTATCTTCAGAGTTCTTCAGGATTTTGTATTCAGAATTTCACCTTTTTTCTTCTGCTCGTTTTCTGGGAACTTGGAACAATGCCTTTAATAGGGCTTGCTTCTGGGATTTCTGGAGTGGGAGTACACCTCAGATGAGTTAGATGAAACTTAACCAAGTCAAACCTTCATGTTTTGCATTATTGTGCCTTTTCCTGGGAGCCTTTTCTCTGATGCTCTTTGCACTAGGACCCAATCTCCTACTTGCAACTCATTAAATGATGTAGTCTGATGTAGCCCGTTCTGGTTACAATGTAGGAGACTACTCACCCTTGGGTTTTTGGCAGGGGTCCTGTTGAAAAGGATGGATAATGGATAGTATGTAAATAATTTTACCATGAGTCAGGTTGAACACCTTCTGGGAGAGGAATTAATTCAAAGGCTAAAGCACTGGTTTCCCCATATACAATTTCATAGAGAGACAACATTTCAGCTCATTTAAAGGTGAGCTTCTGCTAGCCAGAATGCCATGGGAAGTATGAGGGCATGTCAGCAAAATCAATTTGTATCATCTGGAAAGGGTACCACATGCTAAACAACCAGGACGCATGTGGTCTCAGTTTTCTTCCCTTTTAAGTGGGCTAAACAAATCATACAATTGCCAGCTATTGCCTGGGTCTATGTATGATTTTTTTCCTTGCCCAATTTTGCTTAAATTTGCTTCTGGGCTAATGCATCTGATTCTATATGATCTTTGTCATATAGGTCTGCTATCTGGCATGGGTTCTGTTCTGGGAGGGGGGAGAAACCACAAATCCTATCTTCTGCCTTACATGCTCCCGCCCCTCATGATAAAACTAGTATTATTACAGTAAAATCCCCTTTAAAACGGGGTATGTTTTTTAAAATTCCCCATTAGCTTTTTTCCCTGCTATTATAAAAAAACAGGCCGAAGATAGCAGACATTTTTTAAGAGTCATTGAAAATGAGTTTGGGCTTAAAACCAATCCTTGCGGGCATGCAAGTATAAGGTCTCCCAAAATAAAAAACTAGTAAATTCTAAAAAAAATTCTATAGTCAGAGAAAGAAAAACAGCATTTGCCAAGTCTAGCTCAGTGAAAAATTTTGTTCTCTCCAAAAGACAAAACAACCCCTCTCCCACCAAAACCACACACAATACCAAAGCAGCTTCTATCTTTACCTCCCTTTATGAGCTTTTGTTTTAATTGCCAAAAAAGTTCTTCCTTGGCTAGCTTTAGATAAGGACTTGACAACCAGTCCAAACCCTGCAACTCGCCTTAGGTGGGAGGTAGCGGCTACCCTGCAAAATAGTCTTTTTATTTACGTAGCAACTCTTTGTGCTGGGGAAAAGTTGAAAACAGGTAAATAATAATTTTTTGGTTAATCTGAGGTTTTTCATAATACTCAGTGTGCAGATTGTCCTAACAAGGAAATTTAGCATACCCTGTACTTTGTACATGCTCAGGAGTTATCAGCACAGAGAACAAGGAATCAACATACTGAGTCACCATTTACAGTCAGTCTTCTTTTGGGTTTTAGGAACAACATCCACAACAAAAAAGATTTAACCCACCCATTCCAAAACTTTTAAATCAAGAGTTACAAAACAATAGGAGACAGCAGTCCTTGTTCTTAAAAACTAATAATGGCTGCAAGGATTAATTTTTGGTATATCATGTTAAAAGTGCATGCTTTCAGTTCTCATTTACACAGCATTTTTTTCCCCAAAACACAACACTTCCTGCCATAAATAATCAAGGTTATTTTCTCCCACTCCCATCACAACTAGAGTTTAGAAGGGGAAAACAGAAATTATTTTGTGATTCTCTTGTCCTTCTATATCTTTCTATATCACTTTCATCCATTGCAATCAATGAGATTTTTTTCTTAAAAATGCTTTGAACTGTTTCTCTCTGACCTTTTTGTTCCAGCAGCACTTTCATGGATCTCTCCTATTGACGTCACAAGCAGAGATACCTATAACACAATGTTTTCTCTTTTAGATATATGCTGTTGCTATCAAGCAAGCACTCAGTCCCGTATAGAACAAGGGTTTTTTTTTAATGTAGTCTAAAAGAATCCATGCCTGGACTACAATTTTGCATGGTTTGCACTCTGCACAGATACTCCCTGAAATTTTGGTGCAAATGGGAAGATTGAATTTTATGTGTGTGTATGCGAAAGCATTTAAACTGAAACAGGAGGGGGAGTCAGTTCTACGGAGGCTTTGTATTGTCTCCCTGCCCCCTCCCCCCCACTTTGTGGCCTTCAATTAATGTATCCAACAAACAAGAGTCAGATAACAAATCTTTAAAAATCTAAAGAAAGGCTTTAAAACCTGGGAAAGGCTATAGAAGGTGTATAAAAAGAAAATACACCTCAAACAATAAATAATAGAAAAGCAATAGAAACCTCTCAGCTTTGTTAATTTCTCATAAGATTCTCACACAAAACACACACCAGAATAAATGGTGGATGAGGGGTGTGGTCACACCCACACACACATACACAACCCCCCTCCCAGCTTTTTAAGGGGACAAACATAATTTTCAACCTTATTCTGTATAACTCAACAGGTTTTCACCCTGCCATTTTGTTTTATACACATTTATATAAATACAAATAAACAAAACTCACCGATGCCATAACATCAACAATATAACTGAAACAGCTCCCTGCTTCTTTTTTGCATGGAATCTATCGCAGCCTTGAACAGACAGAAATTCATCCTACCTATTCCTCAGTTGAGACAAGAAAAAAGGGTTTATATGAAATTCAATCAACATGGAGACAGATAAACAAAATAAGGATGTTCTATTACTTACATATGTGATCTCAAGAAAATTTCATTTTCAGTTTTCTTTTAACACTGAGCTGCTTATGCTTCAAAGTTTTTTCAATATGTGGTGTGAAATGCATCATGAGTTTCCTCAGAGCTCTGAACAATTGTGTTTCTTTGAGTACTCTTAATAAGGTTAATTTTGCTTCTTGGCCAAACAATCTTGAGACAATATTACAATTAGCTGCTGAATTTCTGGTAGAAATTTCATCTGAAAATTGTGCCTCACAATGCAATAGCCCAGTTTTGTACTATTTCTTTTCACACACAAAATTATTTTTTAAAGTCTCAGTTTGCAAAACAATTTAAAAGTTGTCCAGTCTGGATAATTTCACCATAATTATCCAAAAATCTCTATAAAAAATTATTTATAGAAAAATAAATATTTTTCTATAATTTTTTTTTACTCATTCCAAGTTGAATTAAGATGTTTCAGGAACCTGGAAGAATTTTTCCATAATAAGTAAGTAAGTAAGCAAGCAAGCAAACTTTGTATAAATAAGCTTATAATACAATTTTGAAAGGGAACAGTCCAGTTGCTTCTGTGGTGTTGTCTGCTACTTCTAGCACTTTATAGTAGGCTTTTTTGGTGTGGGGGAGCGTGGGGGGGGAGGTCATTGTCTGCAGTCTAACTGATTTTCTTACAAAATGGAAACTTCTGAGGCTATCATCCTCCATGATCATACACTCTCTCTCAGATACCTGATCTGTTGTATCAGAGCTGAATATACTGTAGCTCCTTTTCCAATTAATGAAGGTTATATAGGTGGAAGTGCTTGCATAATTGTAGGTTTCACACTCCCACTCTACTTTACCTCGGACTTCTCCCTTCAGAAAAGAAGATTGGAATCATGTCATCCTTATCCGTTCAGAAATAGGAGTCAGGGTCAGCAGAACAATGAAAGGAGTAATGGGTATAGATTTTTTTAAACCCTCTTAATTTGTACTCAGACTATGCTCAGACTCCCCTACTGTGACCACCTTTTTTCTCATCAAAGTTGTCCAGTATATTTGTCCCCTTCCCTGGGCATAGTATGACCACTGAGTTTCCATTGCTGCATTTATTAAACCAACCAGACTTTCATAAACAGAACAGAATCCCCCTGTGGAGTTCCTGCAAGGCCCTTTTAGTCTACAAATTACCCTTCCTTCCAGAGATGCTTAAATTTTTCTTCCAGATTACTTACATGTGTGCCCTCTGTCCGTGTCTGGAATTGGAGGGTATTTCTGGCCAGTCTTTCCTTTTCTCCTTTCGGCACTGATTATGGCGGTCCTTGGATTTACATATCAAGCTATTGCCTTTCTAATCAGGAGGAGAAGCTTCCACTCCTCTAAACTCTTGTTTTTATCACACTGGCTACCCAGCAAAGTTATTATTATATTGTTACTGGTGTGACATTTGTTCAATGGCACTGGGTAAGGGCACACAAAAGTACCTCTCACAACTAGATGCAACACAAGGGCACAACGGGCTGCAGGCTGTAGCAATGTATTGGCTTATTCTGCCTAATGAGGCTCTTTAAAAGCTGATTCATCTTCATAAGCAGCCTCATTAAACAACACATGACTGGCAGCTGTTCATATCCTCAGAAAGCTGCCAGGCTCATGTTGCCTAATGGGGCTGCACGCAGGGATGGATGCAAATTAGGCCTTGAGTTTGTAAGTGTTTAGGACCAAGCAAAGGGGATAGTGAGACCCTTGGTCCTTGTCATTCACCCATATTTTATAGTGGACTGGGGAAAGAGTAAAGACAACCTATATTGCAACCTATATTATATTGGCTATTGTTTCTTATTTCTGATATTTTATGGTACATATACATAGAATACACATGATATATAGTAAAACTTTTACTTTTTAAAAAATTACAGGTGTGGCCCTGAATAGTGAAGGTTAAAGAATCCTTTGTGTAAGGACAGATTTGACATCTTCTCACCATGGCCTCTCAGGTAGGTACAATAAAACCAAAACAATTGGCAGAACTTGACTGTGACTCTAGGATATAACAATACACAACACTTTCATGTAAACATTAAAAACATTGAAACTGCATACACTTCACAAACAAACTGCAGTATTATGCATTCAGAGGACAGAGGCCAAATTTAAGGTAACATTATAAAAGGGCATGCAAGTGTGTCCAATAAAAATTTAGTAGAATTAATATAAAAGAAGAGGAATTCATACTGGAAATTTAGAATGTCTACTTCAAATAATGCCAATTCTTCACCTCCCTTATTTTTCACCCTGGTTTTATTTTAAACAGCAATGTGGCCTTTTAAAAAATAATCATTACAATCCCTATTGGTCTTGGAAGGTAGTTATTTGGGGGAGATTACTCAGTCATATGACTCTTTTTTTAAAAAAAGATACAGGTAAATTAGAAGAAGAAGATGATTAAAGCCACATCTACATCAGAATACATCGATCTTGTGTCTTTAAGATATAGTAAACTACAATTTATAATATTTACTGTATTTTTCGGAGTATAAGATGCACTAGAGTTAAGACGCACCTTAGTTTTTGGGGAGGAAAATAAGAAAAAAAACTGATTGGCAGATGGATTGGCCTCCCTGAATACCCCCAATCAGCTGTTCCCAGAGGTGAATTTTACCTTGGTTGTGAGCTCTGTGCCTTGCTTTTTTTTTTTGCTTTGTTTTCTGCCTCTGAAAGCCTCCGAAACAGCTTCAGAAAAAAAGCCTCTGAAGCTCTGTTTGGGTGCTTCTTTTCTGAAGCTCTGTTTGGGACTTTTTTTCTGAAGCTTCATTTCTGATGCTTCTTTCAGCCTCTGAAACCTCTGTTTGAGAAGCTGGACAGAGCTACAGTCAGAATATAAGTCACACCCAGATTGTCACCCTCTTTTTTGGGGAAAAAAGGTGGGTCTTATACTCCGAAAAATACGGCAATCTACAAGCTGACTTCTATAGACAAGTTTACAATGCAACTTGCTTTTAGAGTGCAATAAGTCAGGGAAAATTGTTTTGCAGTGAAGATGCAACCTAAATACACAACCACATGCCCAAAGGAATAAAAAAAGTCAAGATATTAGCTATAGTTGTGAGATTGAAGATTACATTCATTGATACATGTAAAAAGAGATCTTGAATTTTATTTATTTTTTTACTCATCCTGGGGATGTGTCTAGGCTTTTGGTTTATGACAGTGATGGCTAACCTTTTTGCCATTGCGTGCCAGGAGGTGAGGCAGGGGAGTGCCCACACCCATAATTCTATGTGCCACGCCCTGTGCATGCATACACAACCTCCCTTCCCCCACTCCTGGCATGTGATGGCCTGGAAGGCCCGTTTTTCTTTCTCACCTGGCTCCAGATCCTCTCTATGTATCTGGGGAGGGTGAAAAAAGCCTTCCCCACCCCCTTGGAGGCCTTCCAGAGGTCTAAAATGGCCCATTTCCCAACTCCCGGTTGGACCCGCCTCTCTAGGAGTCTCTGGAGGTGGAGCAGCAAAAAACATCACTTCATGTCCAACTGGGAGTTGGGAAATGGACTGTTTCAGGCCTCTGGAGGGCCTCTGAGGGGTGGGGAAGGCTGTTTTCGCCATCACCCAGGTTCATTGAGAAGATCTGGAACCAGATGAGAAAGAAAAATGGGCCTTCCCCATCACCACCCCAGGCCCTCCGGAGGCAGGAAACAGCCTGTTACCCTAATTCTGGTGGGCCCAGAAGGCCCGAAAATCAGCTTGCCGGCACGCGCATGTGTGCTAGTGCTAAGCTGGCATGCCCACTGATATGCCTACGAATGCCACCTGTGGCATGTGTGCCATAGGTTCGCCATCACAGGTCTATGAGATCCTTGATGTTTGTTTCTGAATCTCCTGGAAATTAATATATTCATGTCATGGGAATTCAGTAGCAAAATATTAAGTAACTATAGTGCGGTTCTCCAAAAATTATGAAAAAAGCCTCCAAAACCTGCAACAGATCCCTAAAAAGTATAAATAGGAAAAATAAGACAGTGCAAAAAAAATAAAATTTGTACCGGTATTAGTTTTTATCTTTGTATTTCTATTAGTTATTTTATTTATTTGTATCATGCCTTTATTATTTTTACAAATAACTCAAGGAGGCAAACATACTTGATACTCCTCCCTCCTCCTACTTTTCCCATACAACAAACCTGTAGGGTAGATTGGGATGTTAATGGCCCAAGGTCACCAAACTGGCTTTCATAGCTAAGGCTGGATTTGAACTCATAGTCTCCTGCTTTTTTCCTTAGTGACTTAACCACTATACCAAACTTCTCTCTATACCAAACTTTAATAAAACTTATTGCAGAAAAATAACAAAATAGAATGAAATTAGGGTTGCTCCCACTGTTGTTTCTTCATGGAAATAATTTGCTCTTTTTTCCTCTACTTTTGGCGATTAAAGAAAATATGCAGTCCTAGCCACAAAATGGTTATCCCTGGCAGCCGATGCTATGTTAATGTACACTCTAGATCCATGATGGCGAACCTATGGCATGCGTGCCAGAGGTTGCATGCAGACCCCTCTCTGTGGACATGTGCACTGTCACCAGCTACTCTTCTGATTTCCGGCGCACCAGCTGGTCTTCATAGACTCCGGAATACTGGAAAACGGTCTGAAAATGGCCTGAAAAATGACCAAAAACCAGATTGCTTTTTTGGGAGCCATTTCTGGGCCATTTTTTTGGCTGTTTTCTGGGCTGTTTTCAGGCCGTTTTTTGGGGGATGTTTATTTGTCCAAAAATGACCAAAAACCAGGCTGAAAATGGCCTGAAAACTGGCCCCAAACTGCCCAAAATACAGGCATACACACGCTGGCCAGCTGGTCTTTGGGTTTCTGGTGCTCTAGCATGTGCGAAGACCAGCTGGCCAGCACGCATGTGCATGCCAGAAACTCAAAGACCAGCTGGTCAGTACGTGCATGTGCGCCAGCCATCTGGTTTTGGGTTTCCAGGGCTCCGGCATGGATGCACGTTCCAGTTTGGGCACTCAGTGCTGAACAGGTTCGCCATCACTTCTCTAGATAGTCCTCAATTTATAGACACAACTGAGCTTAGAATTTCTGTTGCTAAGCAAGACAGCTGTTAAGTGAATTTTGCCCCATTTTACAACTTCTTTGCCAGAATTGCTAAGCGAATCACTGCAGTTGCTACTTTGATAACAAGGCTATTTCTTAAATGAATCTGGCTTCCCATTAACTTTGCTCGTCAGAAGGTCAACAAAGGTAATGACATGACAATTGTCATAAATGCATGTCAGTTGCCAAGGATCCAAATTTTGATAATGTGACCACAGGAATGCTACAATGGTCATAACAGTGAAAAACAGTCATAAGTCACTTTTTCCAATGTCGTAACTTTGAATGGCCACTAACAAACGGTTTTAAGTTGAGGACTATGTATTTTTTAAAAAAATTCATGGATCTCTTGGTCCTCCATTCTGAAAATTGTAGATTCACTCAGGAAATTAAAAAAAACTATGCTGAATTTTGATTTTGCTTGCTAGCTCAGAAATACAGATTCCTTCTTGCAAAAGAAATGACTACTAAATAGGAAACATTGCCCTGAGAAAGACAGAGAATTAGAAACAGGGATGATGATGATTAAACTGGGTTCTCCAGATGGGCCAGATAAAGGTTAAATGTTACTGATCTTATCTATTTCACCTCTAGGTCACTAGACAGATGATTAAACGGATCAGGAAGATTTAGAGTGCAAATCAAATACACTCTCTTGGTAGGAAGACATTTCTGTAATAGCCAACACTGATCTTAACCGCTTTACTAGATAGGCAAAGCAGGAGAAGGGCCCTTGGGCTATTACAATTATTTTGTGTTAAATTCAGAAGCTCTGCGACATCAGATTGGAGGCAAAAACATATTGTAGAAGTAAGCAGCTATGTTGATTGAATAACAAATATTGTAGTGAAATGAACAATAACCAGCAAAGCATAAATCCTGGGAAGCTGGCTGCAAAGCAGAAGTTTTATGAAACATTTGGCAGAATAAAATATCAAAAAGGTGACTATCAGTATCCTAACCATTCTTTTTAGAGTTTTACAAAACCTACTGTGTGCAGTAGGTTTTGTTCTACTGTGTTTCCACAAAAATAAGACATCCCCTGATAATAAGCCCAACAAGGCTTTTGAGTTCATGTGCTCAAATAAGCCCTCCCCAAAAATATTTAAATCCATGCACAGCTGGTCCCCACCATTTCCTCTGTTTAGGGTTAGGGAGACAGAGCTGAACCAGTAAGACGGCAAGAGGAGCCCCGTCTTGCTCCACGGGCTTCAAAATAATAAGACCTCAAAAATAAGGCCAAGCGCTTATTTCAGGGTTCAAAAAAATATAAGACAGGGTCTTATTTTCAGGGAAACACAGTATTCCATTTCTCCAGCATCTTATCCTGCAAAGCCAACATGATCATGGGTGTTTGATTAGAAAAGCAATTATTTGAAACAGCCCTTTTCCAACAACAACAATAATAAAATTACATATATGTTTTATTAAAATCTTCCTTCTTCAGTGGAACACTTTTCTCCATTGCTAGAACTGCTTGGGCAATATCACTTTTATATGGCACAAGCTTCACATTTAATAAATTTAGGTTCACAAAACAACAGAAAGCACAAGTGGAAAATTCTGATGCTTTGGTTGTTGTGCATGTCTTTCCCCATTGGTCTCTTTGTGCAGCTGATCTGTTGACCCACTAAACAATCAAGCAGGCAGCCTACAGATGCAAAATTATCTTTGTTGCTGACCAATAGTCAAAAGTTCAAAGATCTGCAACTGACTAGCCAATCCTTGGCTTAAAGCACCTACATGTAGTCCTTGACTTACAACCATTCATTTAGTGACCATTCGAAGTTACAACAGCACTTAAAAAAGTAACATGATTGTTTTTCACACTTACGACCACTGCAGCATCCTCATGGTCCCATAATCAAAATGCAGTTGCTTGGCAACTGGCTCATATTTACAACATTTGCAATGTCCCAGGATCATGTGATCTCCTTTTGTGACATTCTGACAAGCAAAGTCAGTTGGAAAACCAGATTCACTTAACAACCATGTTACTAATTTAACAACTGCAGTGATTCACTTAACAACTGTGGCAAGAAAGGTCGTAAATGGGTAAAGCTCACTGAACAGCAACAGAAATTTTAGTTCAGTTGTAGTTGTAAGCCTGGGACTCCCTGTAATTTAAAGTGCCAACTGTGCTCTTTTATCTCTATAAACTGTGAGATAGGATATCCTCCTTTCCCTGCTGCCAGGGAAAACCCTGAGTCTTTTTATTTTTTAAAAAATCTTTCCTCATGTTACATTGTTCAGGATATTTGCAGCTTCCATCCTAATCCTTACAGCAAGACCCCCTTTTAAAAACATTTCTTCAACCATTTTCCAGTGGTTGCAAATGTTGGCTACACACATATGGATGATCACTAGAGGGCAGCCAAGACATGTCAAACATTGCAACCCATTATTGCCAGTAAGATCTCTTAACTAAATAGTATTTGCAATGACACCTCCCAGAGTCAATATTAACTTGGATGGTGTCCATACTAGCTTTAGAGAAAGGAGCTGGAGTTCATTGAGCAACAATAGAGTAAAAGTATGCCACTGAGAAATGGCAGTGAAGAAGAAACTAGCAAACACTGAGGAAATAATATTTAGCATTTAAGCTATTATAGAAATAAAAAATGAACAATCCCTGGAAGTTAAAGATGGTACTGCATGCACAATGAAGTTTTAGGGATGACTGCAATTCCAGATATGCTCCATACATACATTTTTGTTACCTTAACAAAATAATTTTGCCTAAATATGATGTAGTGACACATGCACGTAAATTCTTGGAGTCAATTCAGCAGGAAAAAGGATGGAAAACAAAAATGGTAAAGCTGAAAAAACAGCCTATGTGTAATAGATAAATGGGGTAGGATAAGGTGGTTTCAGGAAGAGAAATAGCAAAGATGGGAAATGAGAAAGTAGCTGAGAAACCATCACCATATAAAGACCTATAATTGGGGGACCATTGGGGGATCATTAGGCCTGAGCCACCATTGGGCCTGGTGGCTCAGCAGACTAAGCATTGTGACTAAGCATTTCCACAATGATTGGCTTATCTATCCATTAGAGCAGAAGTCTTCAAACTTGGCAGCTTTAAGACTTGTGAACGTCAACTCCCAGAATTCTCCAGACAGCTATGCTAGGCTAGGCTAGGCTAGGCTAGGCTAGGCTAGGCTAGGCTAGGCTAATGAGAGGATGGAAAAAGGTGATCATATGAAAGAAGTCTAGATTATTATAAATTTTACAGTGTTGTTTTGTAGAAGAACTGAGAAATGGGAGGAACATATGTAGGCAGATGAGAATGAGTGTAAGAGTGAATATGGAAAAACGAAAGTAATTCCAGAAATAGAGAGGACATTGCACCACCTCTGCATATAGACCTTTTATATCCCTTTCTTCCAACAACCCATCCACAAGACACTTGTCATGAAAGGCATCATTTGGCAGGGCCCCTATCCACACACACTGAAGAGGAAAAGGTTTGCCCCAAAATACAGCCTTCTCATCACCATAATTTGAGAAACTAGTCACAAACCCCTAGCATTTGCTTTTTTCCCTTGAAACAACATCCCCCTCCCTTCTAAGCCAAAGTGCAGAAAACATAAGGAGAAATGAGGAATCCTTAGTGCTTAGTTATTTTTTTTGGAGACGTCTCATTACCCGAACTAGATAACATCATCAAGGACTGATGATGTTAACTAATTTGGGTAATGAAACTTCTACAAGAACTCAGAAAGTACCAAGGACACTTCATTTCAGGCCTGAGCTGCAAAAATTGTCCTTTATTGGTATATAGAAGAAGGTTACAAAAAGTGGAAGAAGTAGGAGGAAAACCAATCTCAGAATTAGTAGACATATTTTACCAAATGTATACTAACAGAGATAAAATTTAGGAAAGGACCAAATGGAGAGAAAAGAGACAGTTATATGCCTTGCTCAAGTCTTACAACAAAATAGAGAAGATTGTAAGAGATGGTGTGAGGAACTACATCAGAATCAATGTGTCTATTGCAAGGGGTTTGGTCATTGGAAGAAAGAGTTTTTCTTTAACAAAATTCAGGGACAAACTTTAAATCTGAGAAAAGAAGATTTAGGGTCAAAAGGAGCTAACAGTCCTTTGGTCCCTGGGGCTGCCGGGGGATAGGGGACAAAAATAAACACTTTTGGGTAGATATTGGGACATCACATTCAGTTGTTAAAAGGAAAATAATGCCCCAGCTGCTGAGACAGTAACAATAACCAAAACCTTTGGGGGGAAAAAACAAGGCCCCTTTTTGGGCTCTATAGAATGCAAAATAAGCAAGAAAAATTGATCCATATTCTATTTGTCAATTTTCTAGTTCTTTCATTTGGTAGGAATTTACTTAATAAATTACAGCAACTATTGATTTTGATTTAGGGATCAAGACCATGAAAATTCCTAAACATGAGGCATGGAGAACAATTATTCCTTTATTAATTTATTAAACTTTTATGACACTCATCTCCACTATAGGATGACTCTGAGTAGTTTTAATACCAAGTATGTATTAAAACTACTCAGATTAAAATACAACCTGCCAATGAAGAAATAATAATAAGGGAAACTGGAGATGCAATAATAGCCTAGGTATGGGCCACCAGATAACTTGATAGGGCAAAATTTGTTGAGCCAATAATAGTCCATTAAAGAATGATATCACAATTCCTTGCCTCCATCAATATCTCATTAAAATAGAGGCAAGAAAAGGCATGCAATCAATAGTTGATAATTTTCAGAGGTATAGACTTATTAAAGTAATTCAGTCACCTTTCAACACACCTATTTTTTCAATAAGGAAACCTGACAGAAGCTATGTTCTACCTATCCTCCCCAATCTTAATAGAGAATTAAATGGGCTAAAGGTCTCTTGGAAAGAAAGCTGGTTAAGGTAACGAAGCCCAATTGCCTTGGCTGCAGGGTCTCCCCATTATCTTAATAAATCAGCACCATACTTCAAAAAAGAGATTGGGAATAAATCATTTTAAAATTCTCTACAGTAAATCATCCCCAGGAATCAGGCTTCTTGTAGCCAGAATGTTCAACATGCTTGAGAATCTTGAAATTTATTTACTACTACTGTCTGCTGTCCTATCTTGCCTTTCTATTTACCTACAGGTCAATGATCCAGATGAATCTGAGCTTGACTTTCCACTGCATCCATACAAGGTTGGAGATTTGGTTGTTCTGAAATGGTGGTCGGCTGATTCCACTCAGCACAGATGGAATGGTCCTTTCAAAGTGATTGAGATCACCTTCTCGTCTGTGAAGGTGGATGGAGTGAAGAAGTGGATCCACCACTCTGAAGTGAGGAGATATGTTCCAACCCCTGAGGAAGAGGAGAAAAAGGAATCAGAGTGGTCAGTACAACTGGTTGACCCTGTTAACAAATTAAAATTGTTGTTTAAAAGGATAAAATAACAACTGTTGGAGTGGTGTTGACTGAAAGCCATGGTGAAACTATGGCTTTCTAGCATTTGTTTCATGGGAAGCTTATTATTATAATATATTGATAATAAACTCTAGATATATTTGTATTTAAAGAAATGTGAACAAAAGAATGAAGAATTAAATTGCATTGGTTTTTCTCTTTCTTCTCTTTCTTCTTTTTCAGACCAAGTGTCAAACCTTCTTTCTTTGAATATTAAATAAAAGGCTAACGTGAAGAGCAGTTAGCATGCTCCCAAAAATACATACTTCTTTATTGCCGCAATAATAAACAATTGGATTGGCTTTATCTTGTCTTGTGTGTTATTTGGGGACCCTCATGCAAGATCTCCATATCTACTTTATTCCAGTTTTCCAGACCACATCTGAAATGCAATTAGTTCTTCAAAAGGATGCCTACTCATTCTTCTCTTTCTTTTATCCAGCATAGGCATTAAACCTGAGCAAAAGGATTTATTTACAAATCAGGAATTGGGGGAGGAAAAAAGGAAAAAGAATTCATCAGAAGTAGTGTCCCATAATAACTATCTCTTCCTAGAGTAGTTGCACATTATGAAAACAATACCACTTATATAAGCCTAAAATGGCATGGTATTTGGATTTGAGATAAAAATCTCTCAGGACAAGCTGAAAGAGAGAGGAGTTCTAAGTGTTTATTTATACAGCCCTACTCCTATTTTGATTAAAGATTCCACAGATGTTATCAGCACAACTGTCTATTCTTGCAGATAATTTACAGCAAGAATTGGTTATGCCCTCAGGTTGAGGGGGTTTTTTTATGTATAAAAAGAGTATTTCAAAGATGGCAGACTGTCCCATTACAAAGCTTTGGTACCTTGAAACAAGGTGAAAATGCAAATAGTGTGAAAATTGAATGTCCTATATTTATCTCAGGTTTAAGGAGGGAAGCACTGCTTATAATAAATTAGTTTGCTTTTACTTTTTAAAACTAAAATATTAAAATACAACATTCATCTTTTTGTTCTCTATATAATATGAATGTTTGACCTAAACCATTAAGATCTCAAGGACATCATTTCAAATAGATTTGATTGATCTGTCTAAAACAAACACTTTTTTTCTGACAAAAGTGTTAATAAACCTTGTCTGGCAGTTACTGAGTATTCCTTTCAAGATTTTACCATTCATGTTTAAAGTGATGAAGTTTTTGGAGAACTGTCATGATATTCTAATTGAATTTCACAGAAATGGTTTGGTTTGACCCAAGACTGGTGGTGAGTGAAAGAGGGAATAGAAAATCCTCAAAGCCATTTTCTATGGAATAAGTGATTAAAAGTGCTGAATGAAGAAAAGTGGGTGGTGTTACAAATAATCAGCAGTCCTGGTTAATGAAGACTTTTGAACTGCTATACATTAATTCTGATAACATCCAAAAATAAAGAGATTTTTGATTCTTGGTAATAGAAAAATGTATTTATTAAAACAGCTTTTTTTTCAGCAAACCATGAGGAACAACAAAAGCCTACTTTAAACAATCCCATTAAAATAAATAATTGAAGTAATAGATAAATTTACCACCTGCATTTTGAATCATTTCCTTGTTATAAAATTCTGGTAGAGTTTTAATGCATATAAGCCCTATTTATGTGTAAGGCCAGCACAGAATGCTGTAATATGAAAATGGGCAAGCTGCTGTGATCTCAATGTTTTTTCATGTAATGGCATCTTTGTTTAGTCCCAGAAACTCCTGGCTTTTTTTATAAACTTCTCAGATGTAAGGACAATAAATAAGCAATTATACCGTATCCTCAATCCCAGAACCAATCCAGTAACCTGGGACCTTCTAAGGCTCTGATCCAGATTTAGTATTAAAAAGCTAGTTTTCTTCATTGTCTTGTGTTTCCTGTTACTTCTGGGAATCTGTCAACAGGACAATGGTGCTAATATGAAAATCATATTATGCCATATCTACTAGCAATTCCCCCTGGATTCTGCAGTAAGACATATGGGGCAAAGGAATTACTGGATATCACTAAAAGACTTCAGGATTCAAAACAAGGACAATGTAATATAAGGGCATTTCAATGTCTCAGCATATTTTATTGCAAATCTCAAAGTGACCATTTTGGAAAAATGAGATTTTTACACCATAAAGCAAGAAATCATACCAACTCACATACATCAAAAGATTTCAGACTATATCTCAAAAGTTGTCAACAAACATATAAATTGATAATGGATAAAGTGCCTATAATTATTTTCACATCTAATCTACATTTCCCCCCTCTTTCCCCCTCATCCTAACTTAAATCCTACTTGAGTCTAGACCAAGGATGACAAATCTATGACATGGTGAAATGTTTTGGGTGACATGTCAGCATTCACCAACACCCAGCAACAGCTATTCTTGGAAGCACATCATGTTCTTGAATGAGTTTTGGATACTGCAAAGGATGTGTGAAAATAAGGTATACTTTTTTTAGGCTTTCAGAGCCTCTGCAAAATTATTTAAGAATGAGGCCTGCAGCAGCCATAGAAGAGTATACTCCAAAGCCACTTCAAGAATGAAGGCCTTGTGCACCCCAGGGCTGCCTTGAATAGGCTGTAGGGGCCTGTCAATAGAAAGAGAATGCTATCTGAAGGTAAGTGATATATGAAAAATCATGGGGATCACACAATTTAGGGATGATACACACCCTGGTCAGCACTTCTTTACTCTCTTACCATTGCGCAGGACAGTGGTAGGTTGCCCCTGGTTCAGACTGGTTCTATAAAACTGGTAGTAAAACTGGCAGGAGGCTCTGCCCACTGACCCAGACATCATCAGAAGCGATCTGTGCATGCACAGAAAAGTGCATCCATGGGTACAATGCAAACCGGTAGTAAAGGTAAGTAGAACCCATCCCTGATGCAGGAGATATAGAAGCATAGCCAGCTGAACGAATAGGATGAAAAATAGCTTTTATCCATTGGTCATCAGACATCTGAATGCAACATAATACTACAACTAGGTTTAATATGCTAGACTTGCAGGGCTGGTGCAACGTGAAACATGTTCATACTGGTGTAACATAATATAATGTTATATACATATATGTATATGGGAATGTGTATTACTTATTACTTATTTGGGTTTAGGAATTTCTTTTCTTTATTGAGTTATTGTGACATATTCTGTGTTTCAGGGGAGGGGCTGCACCAAGGGAAGCTCATTCAATCTCATTGTACACATGTTGTGTGTTGACAATAAAGGTTTGATTTGATTTGAACTGCATATTTTTTTAAAAAATAAATGAATATGTAAATAATTGGGTGGGTTTTTTTGCTCAGGTGTGTCTATGTATGCAAAATAGTAACAGAGTCAAGTAAATCTTTTTTGACACACTGAGCCCAAAAGGTTAGTCCACTAGTCCTCCTAATGGTTGATTGGTTATTTGTTTGTTTGTTTGTTTGTTTTTATCTTCTCTTCTCTTCTACAAGGTGACTGTGGGCAGTAATGTTTTTTGTTTTTACATACCAACACAGATCTCTACCTACAGTCTTCACAAAAAAAAAAAAAAAAAAAAAGGTTTCACATATCAGTCCCAATCAAGAAAATAATAATTCAAGATATAGAAAAATGTAGGTTTGAACACTTCTAATGAAAGAAGTTTATGTTTAGGTAAAATTTACCTTAAATTCTACACATTTTGATTTGCTCTTAACATTATTTTTCTCTTGGAGAAGGAAACATTTTTAAGTCTTTCCCTGGGTCTTCTATTGCTGTGCTAGAAAGAAATCTTCCTGGGAACATTTTATGCCAGGAATAAAGCACATGGAGAATTGCTTGTCCCAGATGTGAGATTTATTTCCAAAAATGCAATGTACAAAATCAAGTTTCAAAGGCAGTTGCACCTATTGATCCCTCATAGTCTTTATACAGAAAAATACCATTTGCAGTCAGGTATCCTCCTGTGTTATATTTTTCACTTGTTTAGCATTGCTTATTGAAATGACAATCTCTTGAGGGAAAGAATCTGTTATTTAGTCAAGGAGACCTCCAGCTAAGCTCAGCCTGGAAGGAATGCTCACCTGATTAGAAATTGGTGTTTTCTGCTGCATTTAAACTTTGTGTTGACCCCATTGTAATTTTTACCATTTACCCTGGCAAGAAGACTGTATGGCAGAAGGACTTAATTTCCTTCTCACAAGTACTAGGATTTTGCTCCCTAGTTTTCTTTTCTGGCCTTTCCAAACAAGAAAGAAGAGGTATTGGAAAATACCTAGGAAAGTCCCAGTGTTCCACAGTATAAGCTTTAAACAATTTCTATAGAGCAGGCTCAGAAAACAGTGTTGTCAGTCTCTTAACCATGGCAACTAAATTAGACTGTGGTCTTGATTTGTGCCAATTAACTTTTCATGGTTGATCATTTTCTTTCTCCTTATAATCTGATACTTTGATAAACAGTATGAATATTGGTAGTGAGAGAAGAGAGCTTGAATTAGGCATACCCTGTCCTGTGGGAGACAATCACCAGTCTATTACAAGTGTCTGTGAAATTTGGAATATAATTGTTCTGAGAATTTTGGTTTTGGACAATTAAAAACAGGGCAGTTGATATTCCAAGTTCACCATTCTGAATATGCTGTCACAATTACTAATTAATGAGTTGCATGAAAAATGTTGTGCATCCAACAAATTAAAACATTGAACAAAATTTTTTTGAGAATGCAAATAAGACAGGAAGATGGCTGGCTTATAGACTAAGAAAACGGAAAGAAAAGAAACAGATTAGTACATTACACAATGAAGGAGAGTTAATTTATCAAAATGAGGCAAAGAAGAAGGTAGCGTATGAGTTTTTTAAAAACCTATACGAGGATAAGGAGAAGATAGAAGAATGTAATACCTACAAAAAACAGAATTGCCCAAAATCTCAGAGGAAGGTAAAAATGAGATAACAGCATGGGAGATATCTGAGGCAATCAAAAAACAAAAAAGTAACAAAGCTCCTGACCTTCAGAAATTTATAAAAATCACCAGGAATTATTAAGTTCACTGTTATTAGAGATGTACAATGATGTACTTAATGAAGCTAAGATACCTGAATCATGGAAAGAAGCAACAATCACATTGATTCCCAAAGAAAATTCCGATTTGATTTATATTAAAAATTATAGGCCGATATCCCTACTAAATTCAGATTATAAAATCTTCATGACAATTATGGCAGACAGACTAAAGAAAATTTTAGAGAATTTCATTCATACTGATCAAAACGGTTTTCTTCCTGGATGGCATATAAGGAACAATATTAGGATTATCTTGGATATCATAGAATACTATGA